CGGAAACGCAGGCTCTTCATGAGCACAAAATGACCCATACCTCACCGTCCCGAGTGGAAGAGAATCATGCCGGACGACGAGAGCACGCCGACGCAGCTGTTCGATACTTTTATGGCATGTGGCACCCGTCTCGGCCTTCGCGGGTCCCTCCGGAAACCGACTGCCGAGGGTGCGCATGCCAACATCGGAGCACTGCCCCAATACGCTTGGAAGCCTCACAAATGAGGTCAGGGCGGATAGGGCCAGATGATCGCAAAGGCATCGCCGATGCATCGTCGACGGCGGGATGGAGAAGAGCGGGCTCCGGCCGGTCCGCATCGCCGATACATCGGCGGTGCGGCGCGATCTTCTGACCACATCTACGCGGGCTCCTGTTGGGAGGCCTGGAAACACACTTTTTCGTCAGCGGCCACACAAAATGGTCAGACGGCGGTCAAACAGCGCTGGGGCGCGCCGAAGCACAGCGAGGCACAGGGAAACTATCCCAGCAAAGCAACCTAACAACTATGTGTAGAAGCATATATGGAAGCATACCTGGAAACGAGACGCTGTTATCAATAGTGGATGAGTCTGCAAAGAAGGCTCTACTATCAACGGATCAGCACATTCTTGTTGCGCTCATTCCAAACGTGACGCTGCTGCGCAGGGATGTAGGTCCAAACGAGACACTGCTATCGATGGATTTGACACTGCTTGCTACTGCAGATGTGTCTGGGAACGAGACGCTGCTGTCAATGGTGGATGAGTCAGCAAAGCAGGCACTGCTACCGACGGGACAGCACATTTTTTTGCTCCTCCCAAACAAGACGCTGCTATCATTCGATGTAGTTCCAAAGGAGACACTGCTATCATTAGTGGGAGGTGTGTAAAAACGAGACTCTGCTATCAATACTGAAAGTGTGTCGAAACGAGACACTGCCATCAATAGTGGGAGTTGTGTGAAAACGAGACTCTGCTATCAATACTGAGCTGTATTACAACGAGACAATGGTATCAATAGTGGAAGTTGATTCATATATATATAATTATGTAAAATCCAACCAAAAAACTAGCAATCCTGGAAGCGTGTCAAAACGACACACTGCTATCAATAGTGAGAGGTGTGAAAACGAGACTTTGCTATGACTAGTGGAAGTGCGTCAAAACGAGACACTGCTATCAATAATGAAAACTGCGTTAAAACGAGACTCTGCTATGAGTACTCGAACTGTGTTAAAACGAGACACTGCTACCAATAGTGGGAGTTGTCTGAAAACGAGGCTCTGCTACGAGCACTGGAACTGTGTTAAAACGAGACACTGCTATCGCTAGTGGGAGGTGCGTCAAAAGGAGACTCTGCCATCAATACTGGAAGTGTTTCAAAACGAGACACTGCTATCAATAGTGGGAGTTGTATGAAAACGGGACTCTGCTATCAACCCTGTTGTCATCGTCATCATCGCCGTCGTTGTCATCGTCCTCCTCGTTCTCGTCGCCGCTGCCCTCGTCGTCGCCGCTGTCTCCCCTTGCTTTCTCTAGCTGGCCATTTTTTTCCGTCCCGGACGGCGCTTCGCGCCTCCAAGCAACTGTTCTAGCGGAGAGCCGGCAAAACGTACAATCGGAGAAGCACTGCACAGAGCCGCAGGCTGAGAAGCACCGCGGCCACGCAATCCCACAACTGTTGCAACTAGCAGCACAAGCACGCAAGCTGAGAAACACCGCGCAAAGAAAACAAATATGTGATACCCAGACATCACCGTGGTAATCGCCCTCAGCGCTGGAAACGCCAGCCACAAGATTGTCCTCGCACAGGAAGTCGCGCCAGTCCGGAATGCAAGAAGCACTGCAGACAGCCGCAGGCTGAAAAGCACCGCGGACATGCAATCCTACAACTGTTGCAACTAGTACTACAAGCACGCAGGCTGAGGAGCACCGCGCATGCAAAACCAGTATGTGAGACCTAGATATCCTTGGAATCAACGCGGTCAGTGCTGGAGACGCCAGCCTGAAGTTCTTCTCCGCTTAGGAAGCTACGCCAGTCCGGCGGCTGCCAACTGTCGAGGGCGCGCCGGGGCCCACCGCCTGCGCTGCCGCCGATGTCCAGGTAGTCCCCCTCCGCGTTCTGGAGGCGGCCATGTCCTAGCGCCCCAATCGCCTCGTTCCGGTTGGCCAGCAACTCGCCGCTCTCCCATTTCCGGAGCACCTCCAATTCCCTGCGCGCGAAAGTCTCCGCCTCGGCGCCGTGGCGCGAGATCTCCTGATACCGGGCGAGCCGTGCACCATCGTTGTGGAGTGCGACGGCTTCAGCTTTGTCGCGCTGGAGTCGGCGGCGCTCGTCCTGCGAGACTCGTTCACCAGCGGGCGGCGGCGCGGCTGCGCCACCGGGCTCGGGCTGCAAGACTCGGCGGAGCATCTCAGCATCGAAGTAGCTGGAGAAGGCCAGCAACTCCCAGTTCTGCTTTGCGCCGGCAACGCGTTGCAGATGCCAGTGAAACCGCTTGCGCTTCTGTTCCCTGACGAACTGTTTGTTGGCGTTCCCCTTGCCTGTCTCTTGGGCCTTGCTTCCTTCGCTCGCCTTGTGTGCTCCCTTTCCTCGCCTTGCTTCCTTTGCCCGCTTCCTCGCGCCCTTTGCTCGCTTTCCCCCCCGTCGGCATTTCGCTGCTGCAGCGCACGCTGGCGGTCAGACTGCTCGCACTCCTGTCGAACACTTTGAACCAGTTCCCGGCGCCGGTCGTCGGCGAGGACGCGCCGCGCGTCAACGACGCCCTTGCTCTGCAGAAACTGCCGGCGAACCCGGAGGACAGAGAGAATGGCTCGGCCTGTCTCCTCCTGCGACGCGCAGGCGGCGCCGGCGCCCCCCTCCGCGGAATCTCTCTCCGCGGACTTCCTCTTCATGAACAGCAAACGGCTCAAGTGGTCGAGGAGTTCGGGGTCGCACTGCAGGGCCCGCGCGCGCTGGCTAACCTCACCCCCGGGTTCGTCGACGGCCTCGCCGTCGGCCCCTGGCCTTTCCGCGCGCGCAGGAGAAGGACTCCGCGAACAGTCTGGGGCGTCTGGAGGCAGGAGCGCCCGGGGGGGCAAGGAGCGTTCGGGGGCGGGAGCGTCTGCCTCCCCGGAGTCGGAGCCGGAAACGTTTCCTTCACAGTCTCCGAAGGCGCACTTCCGTTTGCCCCCCACCACAGGCTGAGCAGCACAGGGAAGAATGAAGACAACCGCGACAGCATCGTGTGAGTCGTTGCGCATTCCACGGTCCCGGCACGAAAAGCCAACAGCGATGGACTTGAAAGTCGCGACGGCTCCACTGACTGCGACGTCGTCGCCGATGAGGTCCGCCGGGGCGCAGAAGACCCCCACAGCGCGTCGTCGTCAGTCCGGCGCTGCAAAGCTTCACGCACGTCCTCAGCTTTGAGATTGTCGTCGCCGAGAATGATGCGCACGACCCGCTGAGAGGTAGACGGTGCTCGAAGGCTGTTCAAGTGTTGCCGCAGAAGGTTCACTGCGCGCCGTCGCGCTGGCACACTGGGGGCGTTATCGCCGCAAACGATGTGCAGATTGCCGGTGATCACGCGCACTGTGCCATAGCCTTTGATGTGCACATCGAACCGCGCGATCGCAGCGTCCACATCTTGCATTCCGGGGAGCCGGAAGATCTCTGCGTCGCCGCGCGGGGACACATCGACAGGCTGAGGAGCACCAACGAAGCCCCACATGCTCACGTAGTTGTGGACCGCAATGATGCGAACGTTGTCGCCGAACGGCTGTCTCAAGATGTCCGCCACGTTGATTCCAGCTTTGCTGAAGCCCTTACGATGCGCACCCACCTCGCAGCCAAACAAGAAGTCAGCATCAGCCTCCGCTACGATTTTGACGCACAACCGCTGAAAGTTTGCGAGATGCCTCGGGGACTTCTTTCCCGTCATCATGTCCTGCTCGAACCCGAAGTTGAAGGAGGCGACCGTAAAAGACGCAAACTGAAGACCTCGAGGGGGGCCAGGCGCGGCCCCAGACGCGCCTCCGTCTTCCGTCGCAGGCTGAAGAGCACCGCGAGAACCAGAGGCCTCGGCCCCAGACGCGCCTCCGTCTTCCGTCGCAGGCTGAAGAGCACCGCGAGAACCAGAGGCTTGCGAAGGCACGAAAGGCGCGGCAAAGTTGGGAGCGTACATTGCAATGTGGAGAACGCAGGAAAGGCACGCGCTGGCGAAGGCCACGGCAATGCGGAAGGCACGGTCTGAGCCAAAGACGGCGAGCAGATGCAGGGGGAAAAGGGGGTTGACAGAAAGAGGGTGGGAGGCTTCGATCGACTCACGACTCACTGTTTTCGACAACTGTATCTCCAAACGAGACGCTGCTATCAATCGCTGATTGGTCCAAACGAAACATTGCTATCAATGGATGTAACCCCAAACGAGACACTGCTATCAATGGATGTAGCCACAAGCGAGACACTGCGATCAGCCTCAGTCTGCCTTCAGCCTCGGCTTGCAGGGAAAAAGGGGAGGGAGGAAGGAGTAAGGAGCCTCCCTCGTCCTGCTCCTCCTGCTCCTCCTGCTCCTCCTGCTCCTCCTTCTATTGCCACTACAAGTATTAGATTCTGGCGGAAACGTCCAGTGCACGATGAAGCCTGGGTCCGCCGTCTTGCCCTGCACGATGACGAACAAAACAAGACGGCAATCGAGTGGCGAGAGATCTGACGGAGACATCCAGTCAGCAAAATGTTGCCCGGGAGTGGAGTTCTGGCAACTCGAAGACCACGAAGTGGCCTACAATTGGCTCCGGGCATCCAAAATGTGGCCCGGGAGTGCCCTCCGGGCATCCAAAATGTGGCCCGGGAATGGAGTTCTGGGAACTCGAAGACCACGAAGTGGCCTACAGTTGGCTCCGGGCATCCAAAATGTGGCCTGGGAATGGAGTTCTGGGAGGCGCCGGATGCCTCCCCGGGCGATTTTGCGAGGATGTCCCAGGCGATTTGGGTGCCGCCGGATGCCTCCCCGGTTCCTGTCCGGGTCCCGCCCCGACCCCCCTGAGGAGTCATGATGCCTCTTTTGAGCCCACTAGAAACCTGTCAGCAAAGGCTGTCAGGTAAAAAGGGGAACGCGCCGAGGCGCGAGGCGGCGTGAGAGGCCAGGAGGGCGAGGGAGCCACACACAGGCAATGAAACTCTGTGTGTGTGCGCGCGGAGGTGCGAGCCTATGTCCCAGAAGCACACTGCCGCTCCTCCACATCCGCGCCGGAGAGCCCCTGGGAGGGGCCGTCGCTGCGGAGGGGGGCCGCGCGGCCACGTGAGCGAGGGCGGCCGCTCAGACCCCGTCGTCCACGTCGCGGCGGCCGATCGGGGCGACGTCCACGTGGCTGCGCCCCTCGGCTGCAGAGTGACCCTAGACAAGAGCAGCATTTGGCGCGTGGACTATGGGGGCGCAGTGTCGCCAAAGCCAAGCACGCAAGCAGCCGCTATAACATCGCGCTCAGCGATCGGGGGGACCCCAGCGGTCCCGCACCAAAGGCTACTCTGGCGAAGGGTCATTCTTACGCGTAGTCGAGCACCCCCTTTAGGCCAGGGCATCGTGAAAGCAATCGCGATGGGCGTGTTCGCCCGGCTTCGGGCCCAGGGCCCTCGCGCGTCGGTCTAGCTCGAGAAGCGCCACAGAACAAACGGAGGGGCAAAGAGCGGCACAGACATGACTGTTCGGGGGGTCCGCGCGGATTTCTCGGATGGGCGCTGGAGGCAAGGGGGCCAAGCGCCGATCCAATGAATCCGCCCGAACCTCCTGAAGCCTATTTTTATGCCGTTTCTGTTCTTCGAAAGATGGGTCCGAATGCCCCTACTGTGATCTTTCACGACGCCGTGGATTGTTCACTGCGTCCGGATGCCTGGGCCTGTCTCGCAGACGGGAAGGACAGGCCGTCGGACAGCGGCCTGGCAGGGGCTATGGGTAGCAGCCAGGAGGCGTCCATCTCGCCCAGCAGCTGCGAGGCGTTGCGCCGCTTGCCAAGGTCGTACGGATTCCCACCCCTGTAGGCCATCTCTATCGACGTCAGGTTCTTCACCAGCAGGAAAATGTCCAGGTCGGACGATATGGGTAGGATCAGCCAGCACCGAGTCGGGAAATCCGGCCGAATCGGAAAGCGCGTCGGAACGGATCGGGCTGCATCGTCAAGGAGTCCAACTCGCATGAAATCGGCAGCGCCAGGATGCAGAACAGCGCCATGCAAGCATCGTGCCACATCGAATCGCTAGAACATCGGAACCGAATCAGGTCAGGCCGGCCAGGGTCGACATCGGACTGTATCGATCGGATCGAAATGGGCACTGCAGAGGGGGGGTGCGAAACAGCTCAAGTTGCCGATTTCCCCAGCGCCTGGAGTATCGAAGAAAAAAACCTGGCGGCGGGGCGCAACTAGCTGCGCGCAGCCGATCTCGTACCCCCCCTTTCCGAATCCCCCCATTTCGTCTGACCCATGATGTGCGAACAGAACAGCACACCAAGCGCGACGGAGAACGACAGCGCCAGCATGCCCGCCAGGCTGAACAGCATCTGGTCCTTGATGGGCAGCTGTGCCCGAAAGGCGCTGCGTCCCTTGCGGTGCTTCTTGCCCACGAACACCAACTGTCACCCCCCTCCTCCTGCTCCTCCTCCTCCTCCTCCACCTCCTCCTCCGCCTCAGGGAGGGGGGAGAAGGGAGGGGGGAGGAGGCGAGGGAGAGTGAGGGAAGAGGAGAGAGGAGGAGCGAGGAGCAAGATAGAAGGAGGGAGTAAGAGAGGGAGGGAGGGACTCATTCCCTCCCTGCAGCTGCTCGCTTCTCTGTTCCTCCCATCTCTCGTTCCCTCCGTGCAGGCCATGGCCTGACTCCGCCGACTCACTGCTCCGCCTGGCCCTGTTGCGCCTGGCCCTGTTTCGCATGGCCCTCTTCCGCTCCAGCTGTGTTCCGCCGGGCCTTACGCTGCCAAGCCCTCTTCCTCCCAGCCCCGTTCCGCCGTCAGCCCCTTTCAAGCGGGAGCTGTCTCGCAGACCAGCGCGGCGGAACCTGACGTCGGCGGAACCAGGCCTCGGCGGAGCAGGGCCCAGCGGAACTGAGCTTCAAAGGAACTGGGTTTCGGCGGAAACAGGGCGGTGGAAGCAGGGCTCGGGCAGAACTAGGCTCGGCCGAAAAGGGCCTGTACTCGCAAGGGTGCTACCTGGAGGCCCTCAAAAGGCTCTCAAGAGGCCCCCAAGAAGGAACTACCCAAGATGGTCCCCTGGTCCACGACCCAGTCGCAGTCGTGGGATGGACATAATGCGTTCACGTGCAAGGGGCAACAAAAGCATGCGAATTACAACATGGCGCGCGGCGTGTGGCCACTTCTAAGTCATGTCAGCAATATGGTTGGTTGTGTTACTCTTATTCCTGATATTTCTCGCCGCAAGCAATGTATGGTCCGTACTCGTCAGATTGTTATTATCAGTCGCATTCGTGTTCGCATTACTGGTGTGTGAGTTGTCTTGAGTTTACGGTGGTTGTCATTACTCCTCTGTTACAGTATCAGCACTACTATGAATAGTAACGCTCGCAGATTTCGTATGTGTATGATCTTCATAATGGTGTTCGTCGTGCTCGGCGTATTGTTCGTCGTGATGTTCGTTTTGCTAGTGTTGATAATGTGTCTTGTTATTGCGACTTGTGGTCAGTATTCGTATTGATAGTCGTATTGGCATTCGCACTGTCATTATTTGTCGACTACTGTTGTCACTGGTATTATGGGTGCTGCTAGTACTAGTATTAGTTAGCATTAGTAATAACATTAATCGTGTTAGTATTATTATTGTTAGTAATTGAAGTATTCCCTTTCATCCCGCAAAACCCCTCTCCTACCCAGAATTCTGGCATGGCGGTGAGCACGAAAGTTGCCTGCGCCCACTGCGATCGTGTTCAAGCAAGCATGCAATCATGTCAACAGATCGGCACCACCATCCGTCTCGTTGCTCCTGCTGCTCCTCATGATCCTCCTCGTCCTTCTCCTCCTTCTCGTGCTCCCCCTCCCCCTACTCATCCTCATTATCATTATCATCAATATCATCCAAATCGAATGGGCACAACCGTACGGTGTGGGTGCTAAGCGCGAGCCATTGACCCTCTCCTCGAACGTGCCGTAAGTTCACACCCTTCAAGGAGCAACGGAAGGTAGGCTGAACTTCAAGGTACGTCTACCCATGCCTGCACATATTGCTCGTCGTACGAAACTTCCCAGTTCCGTACATCCCCGTTTTTACCACCTCCACGTTGGACACGCTGGTAGGCCACATCGATTCATGAGAGCATGACTGAATGGTAGTCGTTGGCATTTCGTCATCAACCCTGCAACGCTTACCCACCAAAACAAAAGATGCGTAAACACTACAACATCGGTCGGAGGCGCGCAAGCTAGCATCCCGTACATAGTCATCTGGATGAAATACTTGTGGTTGGCGAAACCAATGCAGTTTCCAACCTGCACTCCCTTCTCCCTTGCTTCCCTGGCCGTACAATCGGAGAGGTAGGGAGAGAGAGAGGACAGGAGAGGAAAGGAGAGGCGAGGAGAGGAGAGGAGAGGAGACTAGAGAAAGGAGAGGGAGAGAGAGGATAGAGAGATAGAGGAGAGAGAGAGAGAAGGAGAGAGAAGAGGGTGAGGAGAAAGAGAGCGAGAGAGAGAGAGAGATGAAGAACAACTACATATTAAAACGACGTGTGATGAATGAACGACAGAAACGGCACATGCACGTCGGAAACGGAAGGCTAGAAGGGTACCGTGTATGCTGAAGTGGCCATCAAGCAAGATGGTTGCGTTCTGCACTCCGCTGACCAACAACTGGTGTTCGACTAGATCGACCAAACGGGCTTGAGACGCACCAGGAGAGCATCCTCTCGGACGTAAGGTCAGGTCAAGCCGTGGGCCGCGGCAGCCCATAGGCACCTGCATGCGATGCACGTCGGCAAGGATCCCGTGCTAGATAGCACCCAGCCGGAAGACGACGAGAAAAAAGGCGTGGGTGTGCGTGCGACCTCGCCCTCCCCTCGCTTTCTCCTGTCCGTTTCCCCTCATTTGCTTCCCTCGCAAACGCTTTCCCAGAACAGCAGCGGGCTCTGCGGAGATGCTCAAGTTTCGCACTTTGCACGAAGCCCCTGCTGGGGGAGGTTACTGCGAGCTGTCACGACAGGTTCCCAAGACTTGGAAAGCGAAGTGACACACATGGCGGCGGTGTTCCGTATTCTTCGAACTGGGGACGCCACATGTCACTTCTTACGACCCCCTGGGACGTCAAAAAGTGAGGGCTCCGAAGAGCGCCCCAAGAGGGCCCCAAGAGGCGCCCAGGAGGCCCCAAGAGGCCTCCAAGAGGTCCCCAAGAGGCTGCCAAAACCACCAAGAGGATCCGAAGACGCTCCAGGGGCACTCACATAAGCTTTCAAAGGGCACCCGAAAGAGGCATCCCAGAGGCCTTTGACATTTCTGCTCTCCTCCTTCTTCTTCTCCTCCTCCTCCTCCTCCTCCTCCTCCTCCTCCTCCTCCCCCGCCTCCTCCTCCTCCTCCTCCTCCTCATCCTCCTCCTCCTCCTCCTCCTCCTCCCCCTCCTCCTCCTCCTCCTCCTCCTCCTCCTCCTCTTCCTCTTCCTCATCCGCCAGTTCTTCCTCGTTCCTCCTCCGTCCTCCCCCTCCCCCTCCCCCTATTCCTCACCCATCCTCCCCCTCTTGGGGTACGACTGCTTGCCCAATTCCTTATTCCACTGCATGCTCCTCCCCATCCCTGATCAGGGCAACTCGCCTGGGCATCGTTTCTGGATAGGGCTGGTGGGTTCGCGCGAAGCGACTAGAATTTAGTTGAGAACAGCCTGCGTGCCAGCTCCAGCGGAGCAGTCCCCTGAGGGGCAGGCGGACGACTTGTTGGAGCTGGCGGGGAATCCCACCAGCCCTTAGGGCGTGAGTGGTTTAGCGGGCTTCCTCTTCCAACCCACTTCTTCCCCTTTGGGGAGGGGTTCATCAGTGCCCCAAATTGATAAACAACCCCTCACCCATGCGGCCAGCAGCCAACCAGGACCCATGACAACCCCCCACCACCATCCCTGTCAAAAAAAACAATGTGAAGCCAACGTTGGAGCAAAATCTCGGATCGTGCTCGGGAAGGCGCGAGCACTTCGTATTGCTTATTGGCAGAGACGGCAGGGGGGGGCACCTTGCCTGCTCCGCGCAAAGCCACCATCCTCTCAAAAAATGATGCACTAAACACTTCGCGGGGGCACCCCGCGATCATTTCGCATGGGCTTTTGACATGGACAGCGGGGGTGCTGACATATTGCCTGCTGTGCGCAGGCGCACCAGACACTATGATGGCCACCCCGCTGGTGAGGGCTGCGCGTGCCCCGAACGTGGCGAACCTGGCGCTGCCAGAGCACGCGGCACACATGGCGCACGTGGCGCATCTGGCGTAACATGCTTGCCTGGCACGCGTTGGGCCCAACGGTGCCTGGCGTACCTCGCACGCGTGGCGCGCCTCGCACGCGTAGCGCGCCTCGCACACGTGGCGCACCTGGCCCCAGCGTCGCGCACATGGGATCTGTTTTGGTTCCGATTAGCTGTCCATCGAAAGACGACCGCTGAACATGCTGCGGCTCGGGTGCTAGTTATGTGTGGGGAGGTCGGGTGGGGAGCCTTGCCCCCTTCCCCGAACCCCCCCCCATGGGTCTGCGGGGGGGGGATCGCGACCGATTGGAGCGTCCAAGATGGCCTCGGCGAGAAGGCACAAATCATTAATCATATTGAGGTTGTGTTCAATGTTGGCCCCCTGGGGAGGGGGGAATTGAGCCCCCCCGTCCCCCCTTTGTTGGTCAATCTCCTCCAAGATGGCCCTAAGGTGGCCCCCGAGGCTCCCAAGAGCGCCCCAAGAGGACCCCAATAGGCGCCCAGGAGGCCCCAAGAGGCCCGCAGGAGGTCCCCGAGAGGTTCCCCAGAGACTCCCAAGAGGCCCAAGGGGCTCCCCCGCGGCACCCAAAACACTTCAAAAGGCCCCCGAAGGTCAGGAGACCCCAAAGACGTCCTGAGAGGCCTACCAGAAGCTTGAAGCTGTCAAGAGATATCCGAGGAGACTCCGAGAAGCATCCAAGAGGCTTCTGGCGTTTCTGCTCACCCTCCTCCTCCTCCTCCTCCTCCTCCTCCTCCTCCTCCTCCGCCTCCTCCGCCTCCTCCTCCACCACCACCACCACCACCACCTCCACCCCTCCCGGCAAATGAAGGAGGGGACTGGGGCGAGCCATCCCTCCCCTGCCTCCCTCCCCCACTGGCCTCCCTTCCTCCCTCTGTCCCTCCCTCATTCGCTCCCTTCCTCACGCTCCTTCCTCCCCTCACCCCTCCCCTATTCCTTTTCCTCCTCAACCCTCCTCCTCCCCTTCCTACCCTCCTCCCCTCCATCCCTCCTCCGCTCCCTCCCTCCTCCCCCCCCCTCGCCTTCCTCGCTCCCCCCCTCCCCTGCCCTCTCATCGCCCTGGACCAGGACCACCACAGGCAACGCCCAGATGCCCCACCGTCGGTGCCGCCCCCCTGAGGAGCAACGTCAGGCGGGGACCAGCTCAGGGTGTGTGTGGGGGGGGGGGGGGGGGGGGGGAAACATCGAGCTTGAGTCGGCGGCACATCGCCGATAGATCGGCGACAGGCTCCCGATGGCAAAACCGCACGCTCCTGGGCAGGGAGGGCTATCGGGCCCAGACTGGCGATAAACGGGCGAGTGGGGCTCGACGCATCCCCCCCTGAGCCAACCCCCCCAAACGTTGCCCCCGAATCGGGGGTTGCTAGAGGTGCCCCTGGCCCAAGGTGCCCCCAGCATTCCGCTCCAAATTGGAGCCCCATATGGCCCTCTGGGCCTCGTGAGGGGTGCTCAGGAGGCCGTGGGGGCCTTCCTGGAAACCCTGGGGGCACCGTGGCCCAGGGGCACCTCTAGCAACACCCGACCGAATGCCCCGCCTCCGCCGCCACCCCCCTCCCCGGAGAGGAGGCGCGCCCAGGGGCAGTGGTGGTCCATCCGGAGCACGCAGCGCCCGCAGATGGAGCAGTGGTGCGCCCGCTCGGGCCTCGGGCGCGCGGTCCCCGGGGGCGGCGGGGCCCGCGGGCCGCGCCGCCACGAGCGACCGACGAACACATCGGTGCCCGCGCCTTGGCGGGGTGGACTCTGCGGTGCGCCGAGGGGGGGGGGAGGGGGAACGCTGAGGTCGACTGCACGCAAGAGTGACCCTGGGTAAGAGTAGCCCCTGGTGCGCGGCCTCTTGGGGGCCGCGGGGGAACCGAACACAAGCGCCCAAGACGCTACTTCCGCATCGCGTTCGGCGATCGGGGGACCCTATTGGGCACGCACCAAAGGCCACTCCGGCGAAAGATCACTCTTACGTGTAGTCGACGAGAGGAGGAAGGGGGAACGCTGGGGGGAAACCAGCTGAGGGGGGAAGCATCGACCTGGAATCGGCGGCACATCGCCGATAGATGGGCGACAGGCTCCAAATAGCGAAACTGCACGTTCCTGGGTGGAGTGGGCTATCGGGCCCCGGTTGGCGATGAGTGGGCGATTGTGGGTCGATGCATCAGCCTCTCCCCCCCTAAACGTTGCCCCTGAAGGGGGGGAGTGACAGGGGACAGGCCTTCTCGAAAGGCGGCGGAGCCTCTCAGAAGCCCTGCGGCCTCTAAGAAGTCGCCTCTGGCTGCGGAGAAGGCTTGGAGAGCTCCTCAGGAGGCTGGAGACCTTCCGAGCCTTCCAGGAAGGCCAGCCCCCTCTGCTCTGCATTCCCCCCTGGGAGCGCCGCCGATTGGATGCGCGATCCAGCTGATACGTTCCGCGCGGGGCATCCGCGCAACGCCGCCCTGCATCCACGGGGTCCCGCGCAGGGGCCACGCCACGGGACGCCCGTGGTGGGAGCGGCGAGGGCTCCCCCGCAAGGTCGACACCCCGAGGACGTGCCGCCAATCGCGCGCCAAGGTGTCTCTGGGGCCGGCTGCACGCAAGAGCGACCCTATGCAACAGTGACCTTTGGTGCGCGGCTCTACGGGGGCCGCGGGAGGGCCAAATCGGGCCCACACAGGTCGCTCTTATGCGCAGCCGCAAGTGGCGCGGGTTACGTGCTGCACAGGGGGGGCCAAGGAGGTTATGAAGATCGGGAAGCGCCTGCATCCTTCGTCCCGTGCCCTTGGACGCCCCAGACATCCGACGGCATCTTGTTTCACAAGGCGGGCCCCCATAGGTCTGGACCCCTTCACAAGGAATGCCTTTTCATCACGATCCGTGCTTCGACGGCCCTGGGGCGCGGCAGGGCCTCTCAGCCTCCCTGCCCGCGCTCAACTAGACAGATGCAGTCGTCGGGCGGCTACTCTGCGACTCGGCCTCCTCAGGCCATGCGCCGCCGAGCTCCGACAGGTATTACTCAGAGAAGAAAAATGGTTTGAAGGAAACGGGTCCCGAGTAAAACTGGTCGTGGACCCATGAGGCCTGCCCCCGGGACCAACTGTTCATGCTGGGTCGTTTTCTGACAGCCCCGGGGCCCGTCAAGGCCCTGTGAGCTCGAGAGCGGGCGAAAACCTCAGGACCCGTTTCCCTCAGGACCCCTTTTCCTCTGTGGAGGGGAAGCAAACGGGGAGCAAAGCCAAGACTGAGCGCGGAAATGTCGTGTCGATCTTGGTCAGCCATTCGTGGCCAATCCTCGCGAACCAGCGACGGCCGACATGGATCATGGCCAAGATCGGCATCGGCAGGATCCCGCGACATCTTGGTCATGGTCCCCGTGCTTCATCTCGCGACATCAGGATCCCGCGACATCTCGACTCATAGCGATCAAGGAGGGGGGCAGGGCCCCCCAGCGGCCGAGAGCGGCCACAAGCTGGCCGCCTTGATTCCTTCGAGGCGCCTGGTGTCCGGAGAGCCAGACCCTGGCCCAAGGAGAGTCGGCCGCGAGGCTTCCTTGAGGGGAGCCAGCGGAGGCAGCGAGCGGGAGCGAGCGGGCGATTGCAGCGGGAGCATCCGTCCAGCTGCCTCCTCCCTCAGTTCGCCTCCCCGCGGTTCCTCCCCAGCTCCCCCCTCGGCCACCCATCGCTCCTCCTCCGCCGCCGCCACCTCCTCCGCCGCCGCCGCCTCCTCCTCCTCCTCCTCCTCCTCCGCCTTATTCACTGACCCACTCGATCATGGAGGGGAGGGAGGGAGAGAGCGAAGGAAGGAGCAAAAAAGCGGAGGACGAGGAGGACGAGGAGGAGGACATGAGTGAATCAAAGATGCATCAACAGTACTGCAGTACACACTCCCGTCCCGAAACCCATTGTCATAATTCCCTACAAGTTTCCCTGTCCAGTGCGGGAACCGCCCCCCTTGAATCACGAGCGCCCAGTGGCCTGCAGCTCAGGCGAGACCTTGTTTTGTAAAGCATTCGCCCTCCAGCCTTGGATCTAACAGAAACGCACAAAACGTCCACCGATAGCACCGTCTTGGAAAAAATATGCCCTGCATCCGCACAAGTGGCCCACCATTTCAACGTTCTGGTCAAAAACCTGTAGAAATCTTAAACGATAGCCCCATTTTGAAAATGAGCCGCCACCCATCCGTGTAACTGGTGTGCAATGTGGACCCTCGGGTCGTAGAATTCAATGACCTTTCACGAAAGAGACGCACTTCGAAAACGTCTGGGCCTCCTTCAACTGTTGGGAACATGTCAAAATCATGTGCGCGGCGCTAAGGCGACAGCCGCATCTTGAGAACGTAATGATGGAAATAGTTAGAATAAACTTGCGCGGCGCTATAGCGAGAACCGCCTTTTGATGACGCACTGGCATCCATCCTTGCAACTGTTGGAAACGTGTAAAACGAATGTGCACGGCGCTGAGACAAGAGCAACCTTTTGAAAAACGCCGGTCCTCCATCCTTGCAACCATTGGAAACGTTTAACACGAATGTGGGCGGCGCCTTTTCGACAGCCGTATTTTGAAAACCACTGGCACCACATCCCATCGGTGTACCTGTTGGAGTTTTTTTTATAGCTTCAGGAAGATATCCAGCGATGCCCAAAGTAAACGCCCGGCCCAGCATACGGACAAATCTGGAGGTGCGACTTGGGGCGAGTTGTTCCCCCCCGGTCAGCGCTTGCCCTGAAGGGGTCAGATCGGAAACTGCAAGACTAGGTAAAGATTTCAGGCCGATATTGGTAGGCGGCCAGCTTCCGGGAACTATTAGATTGGTTTGCATAATAATGGGTAGCTCCTGGGCACGAAGTGAGAGAGAGAGAGAGAGAGAAATAAAGAAAGAAAGAAAGAAAATAAATATATAGAAAAAAAAAGTCGGAGAGTGGAGAGGATTTCTATAGGGCCAAGCGGGTTGGGAGAGATATACATTCGTGAGTAAAGATGATTTCATAGAGTGCAGACCGAGCTGGTAGGGCACATTACAGAGCAGCGACCAAACAAAGAGAGAAAGAGAGAACAAGAGAAAGAGAGAGAAAGAGAGAAAAAATGAGAACGTGAGCGGGCAGGAGTGGAGTGCCTGCGAAAAGGTCAAGAGATCCACTGATTTGGCTGCTCTTTCATGGAATCTACAAGGAAAAGGGATGGAGGCGAGGTCGTCGTCCCCATTCCTCCTCCACTCGGGCACGACCCCCGCGCCCGCGGCCGCGGCCTCGACTGCCTGCACTTGCCGCAAGTGCTCGCCTCCCCGGGGCGCCAGACGCGGTCGCCCGCCTCCGCCGCGGCCTGTGGGGCTGCGGGCCACACCGCGGGCCCAGGGGAGTGCACGCCCGCCGAGGGGGGCCGTGGCGGCCGTGCACCGGCGCCCCTGACATGGACAATCGACGTTTCAATCCATACCCCTGCTCGCGCCAAGTCTCCACGAGGGGGCGGGCTGGGGTCATGGATAAAGATCCGGCCTCGAGAGGTCAAGCTTTTTACCCATGCCCCGTCCCCCCTGGCGGCCGCATTTGGTGTCTGCGGCACATGTGTGGACCGAATGTCGACCCCCGATGACAGCCTCGCATCGCTGTACCCACCAAACAATAACGCGGCGGAAGACTCTTCACCGTTTCCCGCTTGTGATGGCCCACCACCGTGGCGTCGCGCACAGAACGGAGGGAGAGGGGGGGAGGCTTCTTAGAAGCACAAGTGCTTCTAATAAGCATTCCACCCTGCCCCTACGTACTCCCCTCTGCGCGCGGCCGACACCCGAAACCCGGGACCGCCAAAGAACGACTCGGGACGAAAAGCCCGTCCACAGGAGAGGGTCCAGACCTCTGGGGGGAGAGGACGCCCTCCGAGGCGGCCGTGACGGCGGTGCACTGGCTCCCCGATGACATCCTCGCGTCGTGAAACAATCACTACGGAAGGCTTTCGACTGTTTTCCGCTTGTGATGGCCCTTGCGGGGCCGGCAAAGAACGACTCGGGACGAAAAGCCGGTCCCCAGGGAAGGGTCCAGACCTCTGGAGAGCCACGTCGCGAAAAAAACACCACGTCGGACGCCTGCGTCCGACGCCACCGAGGCGGCCGCGGCGGCCGTGCACCGGGGCTCTGCACCTCCAGACCCGGAAACGTCGAGCCCGAGGTCCCGAGGTTCTGAGGCGTTTTCGGCCTCCGGGGGCCGTTTCTGCCAAGACCTGGGGCCATGGAGAGGCGACTCGGGATGGAAAGCTGCCCCAGTTGGTCCCCTGCCTCGCTCCTCCCCAGTATCTCTTTCTCTCACTCTTCCAGTGGCACAATTGTGTGACTGCCGCACCTGCCGCACCACCCCCGCAACAAACGGGCGGTACGCGGGCGGGTGATCGCTGGCCCTCGGCAGCCACGCGATTCCCGTCGAAGTCAACACCCGGCTCTGCGAGTGCAAAGGGATGCACGACGTGCAGGGGAAAGGATGGGAAGCAGGCCTCAGAAGAGAACCAGATCCCTTCGTAAACATCCAACAGCCTCCTGCCTCTTCCTCTTCCCCCATCCTCCTCCCCTCACCCTCCCTGCCCCCACCCATCCCTTCCTCCTGCTCATCCTTCTTCCCATCCCCTGTCCTCTACTGCTGCACGGCGTCAACAAACACGCGCCACCCTCCCCTCCACCCTGGAGAAGAAGATCGGCCCCGAGTGGGCCACGGCAGCGCTCTCAACCCAGCCAGGTAAGCAGCTGCGGTGCTCTCCTGTCCCTACCAGCTCGACAGTGCACAGATTAGGGGCGTCCAAGAGGAGGCGTGGCAAATCATGGCCCGAGGCACGTGCGCGGACGATGGGGTACCAGGGGACGCATTGAGAGGAGGCGAGGGGGGCACGAAATTTGTGGAGAGCTCACGGCCAACAACACCTCCCTTGAGCCAAGCATTCAGCAGAACGCGTAGGCAGAAGGGTGCGCAAATGGCAACTCCTGAGAAACCAAAGAAAGAAAAACTGCACGGAGACCTCCGACCGTAAAGCAGAGAACAAGACGCAGTACGACCGTGACACAAAACGCAGGGTTGCGACACTGGCAGCAGAATGGAACAGATTCACCGAACGGATATGATGGCGCCGACCACGGTATCCACACACACACACACCATACACACACACACACACCATACACACCATACACACACACACACAAACACACACACACACACACACACACACACACACAAACACACACACACACACCACACACACACACCAAGCACACACACACACACACACACACACACACACACACACACACACACACACACACACGGTCATCGCCACCACTCTGGGCCGCCCCCGAGAGCCAGGCGGCGAGACGCGAGGGTTCTCGGTGGGGCGGGGCGGGGGCGTGCCTCCGCAGAAGGGCAGAGGGCCTCTCGGCAGAGCCCTGCGCGCCGCAGGCCAAGCGCCTCACGTCTTCCAAGAGGCCAGGGGGGGCACCTTGGAAGGCTGCCTCTCGCTGCGCGCCGCCGACGGGTATTCCCTGATGCCCCCGCCCACGCGCCTCCCGTGCTTGAGCGACCTGGTCGCAGAAGTCCTCCCAGGCGCAGGTACGAAAGGAGGAGCGAGGTCGATCCCAGAACGGGGACAGAAAGAGCGCCTGAGGAGCAGGGAGCCGAGGAGTCAGCAGTAAGGAGCGAGGAGGAATAAGGTGGAGGTCTCAGGAAGGCCGAGAGGAGGAGCAAGCCGAGGATAAGCGGGAGGCGGCGCGAGCAGGGAATAGTCCTCCCCATCCTTCTCCTTCTCCCTAACCATGCCTACTTCTTTCCCTCTCTCACCCGCAAGGGGGTGGAAGGTAGTAGGAGGACAAGAGACGACGAGGCAGAAGAGAGGGAGAAGTGAGGGACAGGTGGGGGAGTGAGGCAGGATGGCATGAGCGAGTGCATAAGTAAATGAGGAGGTGAAAAATAATGAGGACCAGGATACGGAGGAGGAGTGAGATGGAGACGGATGAGGAGCAGAGGACGAGGAGAATGACAAGGAAGAGGAGGAACAGGAGGAGGAAGACGAGTATAAATGAGAAGTGAGGCATACGGATGAGAAGTGAAGGAGCCCAGAGTCGGAGGAAGTTGAGGAGCTGGGGGGGAGGAGTGTGCAGTGAGGAGACAAATTAGGACTGAGGGGAAGGATTCAGGAATGTTGAGAGGTGGAGCAGCGGGGGAGAAAGCAGTAGTGAGGAGCAAGAAGAACTCAGGAGAGGATTCAGGAAGGCTGAGATGCGGTGCAAGTCGGGGAGGAGGGGGAGGAGAAGTGAGCAGTGAAGCGCGAGGAGGGACGAAAGGGAGTGATGCGGACAAGGAGTCGTGAGCTGGAAAGGACAGAAGCTCATGTTGCCTACGAGAGAGGACGACGGAGGACGCGGCAGGGAGAGAGGAACGAGCGAGGGAGAGGAGGGGGGTGAAGCAGAAGTGCCTGAGCGAGTGACTGAATGACGAGGGAGAAGGAGAAACAGTGAAGAGGAGAAGTAAGGCGTGCAGATGCGGAGCGAAGGAGCCAGGAGGCGTGCGGATGAGGCGTGAGGAGTGAGGGAGCCACGAGCCAGGGCCCGTCCTCGCGCCCCTTGTCCCTTCGCCCCCCTCGGGCGAGCGACCTCACGAAAGCCCCTGTGTAGGGAACGCCCCCGGCAGAAGGTTTGCAGCTGAAGGGGAAGGGCCGCAGGCCCTGGTGCACGAGATCGCGTCTTGCTCGCCCACTGTCCCCCTGGCCGTGCTTCTAAGACGCCTTCCCCACACCTCTGCGCGTGAGCGATTTCCCTCGGAGCCTCCCTCCTTCGTGGCGACGGGCCGTGGCCGCTCTCCATCGGAATCTCCCACTCCGCCCCCCCCCACGTGGCCCGGGGCTCGGGCCACGTGCACATTGTGAGGCAACGTTTGGGAGGTCATTTGCAAGAGCGATTCAGGCCGAGTAAGCCCGATCTGGGGCCACGAAGCCGGACCAGCCCAGATTAAGCCTGGCAGCAAGCCGAATTAAACTGGACGAAGCGAGACAAACCCGATTAAGCGAGTTTGGGCCGGATCCGGCCAGGTTTCGACAACGGATATGCCAACGCCGATGCTGAATGTAAGCTCCCAGGAGTTGCATCCGAATGCAAAGAACTCACGAGGTCTCGCCTTTGACCTATCTCAGCACCCCTCGTGGCCACTTGAACCACGCGGCAACTGGCACCCGTCCACGAGGTCGCTCGCTGAGATCCCCTCCCCACCTGACATCAGAAGCTGATAACAGGAAGAGACATCTCTGAACGTCCCTGCCATCCTGCATCGCAGCCAGCAGTAAATAATGATATGATTGCACTATGCTCCTCCGTTGGGATGTTGCCAGAAGCTTTGCGTTAAGACAACAACGAGCCCAGGTGACCTTCTACTGCCTATATCATGCATACGGCCACAGCTCCTTCGGCACGAACCCGGGCTCGGTCATGGATGTTTGAAGAAAGCTCCAAAACGCCAATAACCTGCAAGAGAAACAAACACACATTAAAGATCAATCAACATTGTTATATCTCTCTCTTTCTCTCTCTCTCTCTCTCTCTCTCCCTATGCGATGCTACCCCAACTTTCTTCATACACTCCACTGAAATTCTCGTCGGTGCCCTTAACGACGCCACTCCTCCTGCAGAGCAGAAAAGACGGTAATCGAACGCTTTCGACACACGGTAAGCCAGGCACGAAGAGTGCACAGATAACGAATAGCATGTCGCCGTGGATAACGCAAAAGGGGAAGCGACGCAGCCACGCACCCTCTACATGAAGCGGCATGTCCATTGAACATGAACCCATCGCGATCCAAGCAGTAATCTTCGTTGCATCCGAACGAAGTGAACACAAGCCAGACATCACATTGCGAACCAGCTGAAGCTCAGAACTAGATCCAGCCATGATCGCACGGACGGTGCTGCTACATGTTACGGCGCCGTTTTGGATGCAGTCGTTGTTGTAACTCGGGGGCCACAGGCCGAATTCTGAAACCAAAAACCTTCCCTGATAAAAAAAACAGGGTGCGAGCCCCGGGAAGAGCACTTCAATTGAAAAGTGCAATGTGCCCTGGACGGGGGGAATCAACTATACTTGCCCTTCGGTTGCGAGAGGTCATCAACAGTAATGCTGCTCATTCCCCATATCCTAAGATGGGGTTCTTGTTATTACTTGGACGCCTCCTACTCCTCCTCCTTCTTCCTCCTCCTCTTTTCTCGTCCCCTCCTGTCGGACATACTCAGACTTGCTCATACACAGACTTACTCATACTCAGACTTACTCATACTCAGACCTACTCATACTCAGACTTACTCACACTCAGACATACTCATATACAGACTTACTCATACACAGACTTACTCATACACAGTATTAGTCATACCCAGACGTACACATACACAGACTTACTCATACACAGACTTACTCATACTCAGCACCCCTAAGGGGAGCCGCCAGGGGTGGTTGCACGGGCTCGTTCGCGGCCATTTTGTGGGGATGTCTCAGGCGGTTTGCCTGTTTCTGTGCCCAACATCCTTCGCTTTCGGAGCAGATTTGGAGGATGTCTCGAGCGAGGCGCTCATTTCAGCACCCCTAAGGGGAGCCGCCAGGGGTGGTTGCACGGGCTCGTTCGCGGCCATTTTGTGGGGATGTCTCAGGCGGTTTGCCTGTTTCTGTGCCCAACATCCTTCGCTTTCGGAGCAGATTTGGAGGATGTCTCGAGCGAGGCGCTCATTTCAGCACCCCTAAGGGGAGCCGCCAGGGGTGGTTGCACGGGCTCGTTCGCGGCCATTTTGTGGGGATGTCTCAGGCGGTTTGCCTGTTTCTGTGCCCAACATCCTTCGCTTTCGGAGCAGATTTGGAGGATGTCTCGAGCGAGGCGCTCATTTCAGCACCCCTAAGGGGAGCCGCCAGGGGTGGTTGCACGGGCTCGTTCGCGGCCATTTTGTGGGGATGTCTCAGGCGGTTTGCCTGTTTCTGTGCCCAACATCCTTCGCTTTCGGAGCAGATTTGGAGGATGTCTCGAGCGAGGCGCTCATTTTCACCCCCCAGGTGGGCCAGATTTTGAGGATGTCTCGATCGGTTTGTTAGTTTTGGTGGCCAGGCTCGTGGGCGCAGATTCTTCTCAGGATGCCACAGGAGGCTCCAACAGGCTCCAGGAGGCTCCAGGAGACCACATGAGGTCCCAGGAGGCATCAGGAGGCCACAGAAAGACTCAAGAGGCCACAGGATGTCCCAAGAGGCGCCAGGAGGCCCCAGGAAGCTCCAGAAGGCCTCAGGAAACCACAGGAGACCCCAGGAGACAACAGGAAGCGCCAGGAGGCCTCGGAAGGCAACAGGAGGCCCCGAGAGGCCCCAGGAGCAGGAGGCCTCAGAAGGCAACAGGAGTGGCTCCAATCCCATGTGTTTTACGTATGCTCCTATCGATTGGGCCTCACCTGGAGCACGATTCTTTGATGTTCTACGTATGTTTCTATAGATGGTCCTTCTCCTGTGTACACAATCCTAAATGTTTTACTCATGTTCCTATGTATTGGGCCTCTCCTGGGGCACGAGTCCTTGGTGTTTTACGCGTGTTCCTATAGATTGCCCTTCTCCTGTGGCTCTAATCCGCAATGTTTTATGTACGTCTGTTGCTATAGATTGCGCCTCCCCTGGGGCACGAAACCTTCCTAGGAGGTCCCAGGAGGTCCCAAGAGACTCCTGGAGACCCCAGGAAGCCCCAGTAGGTTTCAGGAGGCCCCAGGAGGCCCCAGGCTCATGCACAGAGACGCGCTCGTACTAGTGAGGCTCATTCACACTCCAATTCATTCGCAGTTAGATTGATGTCCAGACCGTCACAACTGAAGCCCGCTAATATTCGAAAGCTCTTGCGCCTAGACATTCACGGCGGACAGGTCCATGCGAGTAGATGCACATATGGGGAGCTCCACGCAGTGAATATTTTTTCTGCGGTGAACGCTTGATGGCAGAACCGGCAGAAGCATATGGTTTGAAGGTTATGCCATGAAATCCATACTCCCAGAATCAGCGCTCAGGCGTTTAGGTCGGGGGGGTAGTTCGAGCAACATTACGGCGACAGTCGAACACTTCTCAACAGACACCTGCGACGCAGAGACACGCTGCTCAATTTTCTGCGGCGAACACTTGATGGAATATGGTTTGAAGGCTGCGGTTTAAAATCGAAACACTCCTCAATAACGGACGTTCACAGCAAAACGGCAGGCCCTTCATAAAAAGGGGCCCAAGGACCCCACGAGGTCAAGAACCTGGGACGGCGGAGCGGCGTCAGTGATGACCTTGGAGAAGAGCCCTCGCCAGGGAATCGGGAAACATAGAAGGACATCTAGCGGCCTTGCTGGTCATTGACGGACCAAGGTGAGGCGTTCCTTGCCCAAACTACAAACTTCAGAAACAACGATTGCCAGTGCAGCGGAATCTCCAGGATTCCATCCGAAGAAGGTCAACATCAACAACGCTCTGGAATAAAAGGTCGGTCGCCTTGCGGTATCTGGTTCCGAAGGAGCACCGACGAATCGAAATCCTACTGAGCTCTCCGACTGCACAATTGAAGAAAGGATTCTGCCAGAGCCAGGAGGCCTGAGGGTTCTCCCAGGCACAAGGGAACCCCATGCATCTTACAAACTCTGAGAACTGCGATGCGTGCGTCTAACCACGCGTTTCCTACCTGAACCTGTAGACGGTCAACTGCAGACAAAGTTGGGAGACCACAGACGCGCAGGGCATCACGCACAGGAAAGCAATCGCGCGCCACGGTAAAGTCGAGCAAGGGAGGGCCACCATCATCACCGCCACTATCCGGCCTTCGGCCAGTTGCCGCAAGATCCGCCAGCCCCCTTGTGGGGCCACCAGGCTGCAGGCCGAAGCTTCGCAGTTTCCTGCACCAGGTGCAGCATCCAGACTCCACGGTTACAGTTCTGCTTCTTGCTGCTTACCGTTCCTTGTTACAATTATGCTTCTTGTTGCTTACTGTGACCGCGCGCGAGGCCCAAAACGGGCATTTCTACCACGCCCTGAGCGTGTGCTCTGAACTGCTGGGGTGGGTAAAAATTGACATCCCTCACACAGATCGGCGGGGTCTGGGTCCAAAAACACACGGGATTCGCCACATTTGCAAAATTCGGTGGCACCCCTCAAGCGGGTCCAAGAAAATGGGCGCTCGTCAAGGCATGCTAACGCCCCCTCTCCATCACCTGCCCGCGGTTTCGGAGGCACTCGGCGCGGCGCGGGGGCCCTGGCGAGGCGCCACCGCCCAGCCCGGGCCGAGGCACGCCCTGCGGAACACGCCCACGCACTCGCGGCAGGCCCAGTCCAGGAAGCGGCCCGATCCCCGCCACCGCGATAGCACTCGGAGCCGAATCTCTGGGAGCCCAGGGGGGTGCTGTCGTCGCTCCCCCGCCTGCCTCCTCAGGCCCCCCTCCTCGGGGAACGCCAGCAGCACCCAGGTCCCCACGCTGCGGGGGGCCGGGGGCAGGAAGGACTGCGGCGCGGGGCTCGGTATCTCCCCTGGACGCCGATAGCACACCACCATGACCAGCGACAGCGCGGCCGCGAGGGGCGCCGCACTCAAGGGCCGCCGCGCGCGAGATGGCGACGCCTTGCACCTGCCATCGAGAGTCCGCAGCGCGCGCGGCGGGCGATCGGCGCCGCGTCGCCCAAGCCGAGGCACGTGGAAGATCGCCCCGGCCAGCAGTTTCTCGCCCCTCGTGCTCTCGTGGCCGTTCTCGAACTCATGGCCATTGAAGGCCACCAGCACGGCGTCGAGGCGCTCGAGCCGTTCCAAGACCGAGGCGAATAGGGGCCCAAACTCAAAAACTCTCGGACGCGCTGGCGGCAGTGGGCAGCAGCCGCCGGCGCCGCCGACCTGACCCCCAGCGGCATTAGCCGGGCGGACAGCGCGCCGCCGCCCATCAGCGCGGCGAGGGCCTGTCGGGCGCGGCCCTCCCCGCGCCGGCACAGGCTCCGCCGCGGCCGCTCACTCCTCGAGGTCGGACGAGTCGTCGCTCTCGCTGCCGCCCGCGGCCTCGTCGGCCACGCGGTCGCGCCCGCCGCCCTGCGGGCCTGGCCCTAGGGCGGGGCGGAGAGGCGCCCCCATCCGCCGCTCGCCCCAGGAACGCCCCGGCGCCCCCGTCGGTTCCCGGCCGCGCCCGCGGGGTCACAGACCCCGCGCCCGGCAGCTGTCGATCGGTCAGCCCCCGCCCCAGAGTCAAGGTCCGAATCCGACTCGAAGATGTTTCCGTCGCCGGCCTCGCCTGCGAGGCAGCCCATCAGCGTCTGCGCGCGGGGCCCAGGAGGGCGCCCGGGCGAGCCGCGGGAGGCCGCCCCCGCGCCCTGGCCGGGCGCCTCTCCATCACTGCACTCAGGGCCGAAGTTCGAAGACAGGTCCGAGCCAAAACACAACCACGACGGCAAGGACGCTCGAGAGCGGAGTTAGACTGATCAACCGAAAGGCCCCCATCTATTTCCGGGGCCGTCGCCACGGAATCGGCGCCAGCACCGAAGTGGATTTTTACCTAACAGCGAAGACAGATAGGTTTCTAGTGGTGTCAAAAGAAAGCATCTGATGACTCACAAGGGAGGTCTGGGCGGCATCCGGACAGCGAGGGCCGGGCTCAGGGCCGGGCTCGTTTTAACCAAACAGTCACACACTTCGTGCTCTTCGACTTCCCAGAACTCCACTCCCGGGCCACATTTTGAATGCCCAGAGCCAACTGTAAACCACTTCGTGCTCTTCGACTTCCCAGAACTCCATTCCCGGGCCACATTTTGGATGCCCGGAGCCAACTGTAAGCCACTTCGTGCTCTTGGACTTCCCACAACACAATGCCCGGGCCACATTTTGGATGCCCGGAGCCAACTGTAGGCCACTTCGTGCTCTTGGACTTCCCAGAACACCATTCCCGGGCCACATTTTGAATGCCCGGAGCCAACTGTAGGCCACTTCGTGCTCTTCCATTTTCCAAAAC